TGCTCCCTCCTGACGTCAGGACAACGACACAGTCTCTCCTCGAAACGCGTCTCAACAGGAACAATAGTCGACTCAACTTACACAGGTCTGACATCTACATTGCAAAAAAAAAAAACTCGCCTCCGCTGTCTCCTGAAGCTTAACTTCGCTCCAAAGGATTACTACTAGATATTAACAAATGGCGGATCCTGTCAGTTACGCTTCCTTGGCCTTCTCACGGGCAAGTATTAAAAGCCCACTGACAATACCTCAGGAAGCCCCCAGCTCTACAGAGCCGTCTTTCTCAGAGGCACTGAAGTCCCTGAAGCGAGATCCTGACGGCAAGAGTTTCGTGGCGATTGGGCAAGATGGGGTTGCACGCAGCCTCGATCGCGACTATAACATTCTGGACGCCAAGGGCCTCAGCCCGCGTCAGCTGAAGCAGTTCCTTGACAATGGACCATATAACCCAGAAGCCGAGAAACAGTGGCGAGGGGTGGATGGAAGAAAGATAACGAGCGAGGAAGGCCTGTTTCGTCCTGACCCGAGTATCTTGCCCAAAAAACCGACGCCAGAAGAGAAAGCGACGAGGAGAAAGTTGATTGAGGAAGAGCACAAGAGGATAGCGGAGGAGGGAGGTCCTCGCTGTTTCCCTGGACCCATGTCCGACCACAACCTCGGGATCGAAGCAGAGGATGCCGCCTGAAGTAGCTTTCTTGTCAGTACTTAATGCAAAGCCCCGTGAGACTCCGCTGGATACTGCTCGTGCTGAGTGGAATTCGATCTGGTTGGTCTCAACTCCACAAACAATCAGCGCATCGTAGCCATCCAATTCATTAAGGCGATTTCCGTCGCTATCGGCTTGCATCACATGTAGTGTCGGTGTCCATTTCATCTAGTCTATGTGAACCCGCATACGTTGAGTACCGTCCCTAAGGCCGGGGCTTGTGGCCTCAGCTATCGAAACACCCGGGGAAGAGATACTCAACCCTCTTGACAGCCTCCGGGTTTCTTCCCTCAGGCTTAGTCATGAACTTCAGGCCGGCAACCGTGGCACCCTCCCAGTGCTTAGCCATAACCATGTCACTGTGCTCCTGCTTTGCCAGCTCGTCTAGCACGGCTCCCACGAGCCTCTTGGCATTTGCGCCGTTGGCAGCCATGTACTTCATCACCATGGCGACATCGACGTCCTCGCTATCATGCCAGCAGTCATAGTCGGTCGCCATGCAGATCATCTGGTAGGTCAACTCTGCCTCACGCGCGAGCTTAGCTTCTGGCAGGGCTGACATGTTGATCACGCTGCCGCCCCAAGAGCGGTACATGTTTGACTCGGCGCGTGTGCTGAACTGAGGTCCCTCCATGCAGACCACTGTACCGCCCTGGTGGAGCGTGACTCCATCGCCCTCCATTGCTGACGCGCACTTTCGCACCACAGCCGCGATCTTTGCGTCAAAGGGGTCTGCGAATCCAACATGGCCTACTATGCCGCCCTCGAAAAACGTGAAGGGCCGGATGCCCTTGGTGCGATCGATGATCTGGTCAGGCACGACAAAGTCCATGGGCCGAATCTCTTCTTGCAGAGAGCCAACGGCAGAGAAAGCAATGACTGTTCGGACGCCGATGGATCGGAGGGCAGCGATGTTGGCGCGCACAGGGATCTCATGGGGCGCATGCTGGTGGTGGACGCCATGGCGGGCAAGGAAGGCTATCGGAACACCGTTGTGCTCGAGGATCTGAATCGGCGAGGAAGGGACGCCCCAGGGTGTGACAGGGTTGAGCGCCGCTACAGGTGTGTAGCCGGCCATTTGCGTGAGTCCTGTACCACCGATGACGGCAATGTGGACCGGACCTGGTCATCGTCAAGTTAGCTCATCTTCTTCTCAACCTGCTTGCTGGACCACTGATCAGTGATGATTGGAGTCGCTTACGGTCAAAGTGATCCGGCAAGGAGGCCATTGCGATGTTGTGTATATTGATTGTCTAACCAAAAAAAAAGCAGAGAAAGACAGCGAAGAGAGTGACAGTGGAAAGGAAGTAGGTATCACAATGCTGACGGTCAGCTTCAGCCCTTCCTGGAAGAAATTCTGGAGTTTTGGCTTATCGGGTCGATGTCGCGATAGGTAGTGGGGTTGATCTCTCCCGTCGCAAGCTCTTCGCATATACCCCGCCATTGGGGAGCACGTTAGTAGCCACCAAAGGAGGCTAGAAGGACCCTAAGTGCCTAATTACCTCAAAAGCGGCAGCAAATAGCAGCTGAGTGAGCATTCCACAGCTTTGTCATTCAGGTTGATGGAAACCACTTCTCTCGGAGCTGTGGAAGCCTGGAGGCGTCGAAGGTGTGCTTTAGCCCCACATTGTCCCGCATTTCTTGCGACCAAACGGGCTCAACTTCGGACAAGACCGTGACTCTTGCTTTCCACCTTGGTCAACTCCAATAATCCTTCTTCCAACCTCACTCCAGGCAGACGTCTCCGATCGACGGTGTGTAACTTGCTTGTTCTATTAGCCCTGAACACAAACTTACAACAATTGGTTGCCCAGGTCTCTTCTGTCGCACACGCCCGCAAACACGCCCGGCCATCGACCCCCTCCGGATCCGGCACGGCGCATTCTACATATCGAATTCGCAGCCTCGGCAATCCGGCTTCAAGTCGCTGTTAGCATCGCATCGCGTCGCACTCTGATATCGCCCACCAGGGCTACTGCGTTTGCGCGTATCACTCATTGACCATGGACTCGACCATGGACCAGTCGCAGACTGTGACAAGGTCACCGGGCAACTCTCCGCAACGATCACAGCAGCCGGAGCTGATCCCGGTTCCCGGCTACCAATTTCCTACACATAAACTACATCGAGGGCCTATCAAGGAGGGCAAGACACCCCTTGCTCTCGTTGCATGCGGCTCTTTCTCAGTGAGTCTGCTTGCCTCTCCGCAAGCTCGATGCTCTTCTCCGACTAACAAACAATCACAGCCTGTCACTTTCCTGCACCTACGGATGTGAGTTTTGGTGACGTCAATTTTGGTCGCCTAGAGTTCATAATTTGACTGACAACGTGTGTAGGTTTGAGATGGCTTCGGACTTCGTTCGATTCAATACCGAGTACGTCAGCGCTATTTTTCTTGAGCTTTTGTAGCCGGTGGCGAGAAATTCTGCCGGGAGGAAAGGGTGCCGTCGTGCGTAGTAGTACATGGGCTCTTGAGTCGCTAACACGGAAGTTGCGCAGCTTCGAAGTTATTGGCGGGTGGCTGTCTCCCGTATCGGTGCGTAAATGTCGATCACTTGTGTAATTGGTCTGTTTGATGATACTAACCACTCGCTTAGGACGCATACAAAAAAGGTACGATATAGCGCACGTCATGTCCCGGATTTTCAATGCTCGCGATTTAACATTGCCTTACAGTTGGCCTTGCTGCTGGGCACCATAGGTATGTGGACTGAGTCCCACTTCAAAATATAGTTGCTAATATTGTTGAAGAGTCACAATGTGCGCTGCGGCGGTGGAACATTCGTCATGGCTAATGGTTGACCCTTTTGAGACTGCTGTGCGGAACAGTAATGGCGAGCCTGTATACGTTCCTACTGCTCGGGTGTTGGACCATTTTGACCACGAGATCAACGAAGTGCTGGGCGGTGTCGATGGAAAGAGAGTCAAAATCTGTCTTTTGGCTGGCTCTGACCTCGTAAGTGAACCCTGTCGCAGAACCGTTTGGGCGGGGGAGGACAGCCGTTACTGACCAGATCAAGATCCAAACAATGAGTACACCAAATCTGTGGTCGCCGACAGACCTTGATATTATCCTGGGCAAATACGGTGCCTTCATCATTGAGCGATCAGGTGCGTCCCTAAGCAAGTGTCATCGGTCGTCTGGAGTTCCCTCGGTCTAACCAACCATGCAGGAACCGACATCGAAGAGGCACTAGCCTCGCTACGGCAGTACGAGAACAATATTTGGGTTATCAGTCAAGTGATCCAGAACGATGTCAGTTCGACAAAAGTCCGGCTTTTTCTGGTAAGCGGCCCCCGGGAGCAGAACTGGCCCGGAGTCTACGCATCATTTCTCCGTTTCAATGCTGACATGAATGCCTTCCAGAAAAAAGACCTCAGCGTCCGGTACTTGATACCCGACCCTGTAGTGGCTGTAAGTAATCCTGATGGTCCTCTTCCGTCTCGAAGTCGTACTCGCGCGGCTGTTTATGTCCAGTCTCTAATTGAACCAGTATATCGAAGAGCATGGCCTGTTTCAAGACAGACCCCCTTCAGAAGACGGCAAAGACAAGGCCACGGATGACACAAAGGATAGTTCCGCAAGCCTAAAGCCCGAGTCGAGCAAGGGGTGAGTCCAGGCCATACACGCCTTCAATTCCTGGGAAGGGACGACAAGTAACGATGTGTCAATTGGCAGGGTACTGCGGCGGCAACCGTCCTCTGGGTAATGGACATTGCGCGGGAGAGCATTGCATCCCCTTATGGGGCACTGATTTAGTGGCTTCTCAGCCACGTGTACAGCCATCAATCTTCGGGACCAGATATTTTGCTGGGATAGAGAGAGAGAGAGCGCGAGAGCGGAGCGACTGCGAAGACCGGAGGCGATTTGCACGGCGCTTTCGAATTGGAAGGCCGATTGACGGAGTTGGGGCGCAGTGGGACTTGGGATAGGATAACGCTTTATGTTGTGGATGACCGACTACCCAGACAATTGTGTAATTTGCGGGACAGCAATGGAAAGACCTGGGTGCATTGCCGACATCCTGGGCACAACAGACTTTATTGCCTTGCTTTTTTCCATACCCGATACTCTTTTGACGCCTCATTTACTGCGAGTATGAGCTGCATATGCAGCGCGTCATTGGATCTGGACTCTGGATCTGGACTCTGGAGACCCATCATCTGCTAGAATTTGATGCGACTCGACTCCCCAGCTTAGCTTTGTTCAGCATGCACACCTGCAGTCACTTTTCTGAACCGACTCTGTTCCGACAACATAAAAAACAACACTCTATCATCAAAAGATGACAAAAGGACCGAGCGTGGATTGAACACGCGACCTTAGGATGTTTGTTGCAGTGCTAGCTGCAATCCCACGCTCTACCGCTGAGCTATCGATCCTTGTTTAGATTGATGTTGAGTCAGTGTCTTAGTTCGCGTCACGAGTCAGTAGATCCGACGTTCGATGCGCTCTGGTCATGTCTCTGGTGGTTCACACTAATTGGCCCGCGTTTGACACGTGGTCCTTGTCCACAGCATATGGCTTACCCAGCTATGTGGTGTTCCTCTTACTTTTCTTTTGACTTGTTTTGCTCCTCAGATCAGGATGATTACCTATAGTCTAGGTGTCTATCTCGGTTGTGTTGAGACCTCTTCAGCTTGAGCCCTGGACCGAATCCTCCTCCCTCTGCCGTCAATGATCGACTTCTTCTTGCGTTTGGTTTCCTTATCCACATCCGTCATTCTCAATGGAGACCCTCCAACATTTCGAGATGTTACCTGCGGACGGGCTTATACCTGGACTCGTTGCCGCCGATTATTGGGAGATGGCTGCGTGTCTCGGAGGATGAGGCGTTCGGCTCCCTTTTGTTGGCATTCGACATTGCGCTGCCCATGGTCGACATTCTCTTCTTGCTCTTTCAGCCCGGATCAGAGCTTCGTGGTGTCAGGTCTTCGTTGATGGAGTGGCAAGTGCCACTGCTTGAAGTACATGGGGATAGTGGAGGGAGTATCGCGCTGGAGGTAGTCGAGCTCGGCTCATGTTACATCTAGGGCTTGTTGCGCCTGAGCGCCGTCAGCCGTGGCTTCAAGAAACTTATACGATGCACACCTTGATGTCGTTGGTTGACAGATTCTTGAGCTCACCTTCGACATGAGCCCCCGAGTAAGCAATGAGATCCCAACCTGATTACAGATAAACTGACAACGCCACTCACGAAACTGACCAAGATGTGCTGGAATGTCCGAGTTTGGCCACAGTTCATAACTTATCAGATCTAGTCGAGACCAGGTTGATTTCGTACCCCTGCGTCAGTCTGGTTCCCATTCTTGTTCACTTAGAGACCAGCAATGAGAGCGGCAAAATGCCCAATTGTAGCCACTAATCTAAGTCAATTTTCTCTGGATATCAAATACAGCCCACAGCTCCAATAACACTCAAAAGCGTCCGTCCCACATTCCCTCAAATAGAAAGATCCTTCAGCTTCTCTGTGATGAATTTCTCCGCCTCACTGACCGCATCTTCAAGCTTCTCAGGATGAGCACCAGCGCCTTGTCGGCTCGGGCCCTTTCCGCCGGCTTTGCCGCCTATGACGCTTGTGACAACGCCAGTCCAGGCTTCAGGAGTCACTCCCTGTCCCTCCAGGACATCGGCGACGTATACACCGTGCGCGACGCCCTCGTCTTTGCTACCAGCAAACACATAGACGGACCGAGCCTTGTCCTCGGGCTTTTTGGCTTTGCTGTAAAAGTTGAGAACATCAACTACGGCCTTTGTGTTTGCCGAGGGAATACCTAGATGGCCGACGAACACCTTCTTGTCCGGGTTCTTTTCGAAGAAGGTCTGGACCGTCTTGAGCGCTGTCGAAGACTCGGCCTTCTGGCGCTTCTTCTGCTCCTCGGCAACTTGTTTACCAACCTAAACGTAGTATGTTAGCCACAGCCCGTCAAACCAGGAGAAAACTGGAGTCGCGTACCTTGGCCAAGCGCGTTTGAAGCGCCTCCTTCTCAACCTTCGAGATGGTCAATCCAGCAATCTCCAACGACGCAGCCTTGACTGCACTCTCCTTCTCCGGACCGTAAGCAGACTTCTCAATCTGATCGAGCTTCTCAGCGAACTCGGCAGCCTTACGCTGGGCCTCGAGAGCGCGCTCGCCTGTGAAAGCAACGACACGCCTGATGCCCTTGGCGATGCCACCCTCCTCAACGATGACCAACTTCTTGATCGCCGCGCTCGAGTCCACATGTGTGCCACCACACAGCTCTACTGAGTATTGGCGCCACTTCTGATTCTCGGGGTCCTTCATCAGATCCTCGACGCTGACACCGATTGAGACGACGCGTACAGGGTCTGGATACGTCTCGCCGAAGACGGCACGCAGGCCCGCGATCTTGAATGCCTGGGCCAGCTCAACGTCCTTGGCGTACGTGCGAAGGTCGGCGTCAACTTCCCTAGTCATAATCTCGCCGATCTTCTCCAGCTCGGTCGAGCTGAGACCGGTCTTGTGACTGAAATCGAAGCGCAACTTGTCCTGGTCGACGAGCGACCCTCTTTGGTGGACATCGTCACCAAGGACCTCCCTCAGTCCATGGTTGAGGATGTGCGTTCCGGTGTGATTGTTTCGTATTTGCGAGCGTCTTAGCTCGTCATATACGCAGACGACTTCGTCTCCCTCAGAGAAGGTACCGTACTCGATGTATCCGTTGTGAAGCGTATAGCCGCTGTACTCCTGAGTATCGACGACGTTGAATGCGGCATTGTCACCGATGAAAATCTTTCCAGTATCGGCAACCTGGCCACCCGATTCGGCGTAGAAGTTGGTCTTGTCGAGGATCAGACCGATACGTGTCTTGGGGGGGAGCGACTTGGTCGTGCTCTCGAAGCCATCCTTCCCTAAGAAGATGCGCTTGACAGTGCCACGCGTCTCTCCTTGATGATACTTGGCGGTGGAGTCCGTTCTTGGGATGTCGAGCTTTTCCAATTCCGCAATCAGATGCACGTCAAGGGCAGCAAAGGTTTGGACATCTGCCTGAACGCCTTTGCTTGCTTCCCGGGCCTTCTCTTCAGCCGCTCTGACCTCTGCTTCATCGATCGACAAGCCGCGCTCCTCAGCCATAAGCTTTGTCAGATCCTCCGGGAAGCCGAAGGTGTCATATAGGCGCCATACGTCTGATCCAGACAGCTTCTTGTCGCTCTTGAGAGCCTGCTCAGCGAACTTCTCGAACTGTCTCTCACCCCTGTCAAGGGTCACAGTGAAAGCCACCTCCTCCTCATCCAGGATCTCCTTGATGTCCGATGCCTTTTGCTTGAGCTCTGGGAACTGTTCGCCCATTTGATCGACCAAGGCAGGTAGGAGTTTACTGAAGAAGCTGCCAATCTCGGCTTTCAGATATTTCCTCGCATAACGCACGCCTCTCCGGAGCACACGACGCACGACATAACCCCGGCCTATGTTGTTAGGTACCGCGCCGTCAGCAATAGCGAAAGAGAGGAGCCGAAGGTGGTCGGCGCAGACGCGATACGCCGTATCGATCCCATCCTCATCCTCAGATGCATATTTATCCGTATATGGTCTTGCACCTGTCACTTCCTGGATCTTGGCGAAAAGAGGGGTGAATATGTCGGTAGCATAGTTGGATGTCTTGTCTTGAAGGGCAGACACCAAACGCTCGAAGCCCATACCGGTGTCGACGTGTTGGGCGGGAAGGGTCTTCAGTGATCCGTCCTTCTGCCTATCGAAGCTGATGAAGACGTTGTTCCACACCTCCAGGACCATTGGATCGTCCTGGTTGACAAGCTCGGCAGCGTTGCGGCCGCCAATTCTGTCGTAGTGAATTTCGCTGCAAGGACCGCAAGGGCCTTGGTCACCCATCTCCCAAAAGTTGTCCTTCATGTTGCCTGGTAGGATATGGTCGGAAGGGACACCGACTGATTCCCAAAGCTTCTTCGCCTCCAAGTCCGGCTCGAGGCCCATGTCCGGGTTTCCTTCGAAGTAGGTAACGTAAAGGCGATCGGGGCTGAGGCCGAAAACCTGTGTCAAGACTTCCCACGACATGTTGATGGCCTCCTTCTTGAAGTAGTCGCCGAAAGACCTGTGCCAAGGTTAGCTGCAGCTTCCGTACATCGACTCGGTCACGACTACAAACCAATTGCCAAGCATCTCGAAAAAGGTGTGGTGGTAACCATCCTTGCCGACATCGTCGAGATCGTTGTGTTTACCGCCGGCGCGAATGCATTTCTGACTGTCTACCGCACGCTTGAGTTGCGCCATAGGATCAGTCTTTCCGATCGTGCCCAAGAATATGGGCTTGAATTGGTTCATGCCGGCATTTGTGAACAGAAGTGTCGGATCGTTGTTGGGAACAACAGGCGAGCTGGGCACAATCGTATGCCCTCTCTTCTCGAAGTACTCGAAGAAGGTATTGCGGACCTCCGCAGCCGGCCATTGCCTTTGAACAGCCATGATGGATGTGTGCAGTCTTGCACTCTGCGAGAACAGGCGGGAAAGTGTCGGTTTGCGAGAGGCGAACAAGAGTTGAAGCATGAGGTGGAAAGGATCTTGATCGAGTCACAAGTTGTCCCGATAAGAGAGCCCCGCGGGAAGCTTCTCACACACCGTGGGGCAAAACGACTGACTCACGGTTTGTCCTTCCGGAGTTTATCCGGCACAAGATTTATCCGGGAGGCGAAGATGGAGCACGGGCAATGAAGTCAAAATTTGAAGCCAGTGGACTTCCAATACCAGACGATCAAACAATGCCTTCGCACTTGAAATAAGGCATCCCACGGGAGGCCTTGTTGGGATGGAAAGGGGGAAGTTATCTGGTTGCATCATCGAGCCCTTTAAGCGAGCTCCTTCATGTAAACCGTCTCACAGTTTGTTTAGGATGGTACAAATCCCTAAATTTAACTGCAAAGATACGCTAATATCGCGCTAATGCAGCCCTACTTTACTCTTGCTCCCTTGTCTGTTGGACGGTCACTCGCACCCATTTATAGTAGGTAGGTACTGTGGCTGGGGTGAATCGCGAATAGGATGAACCAAAGGCAGCTTATTTTGTCTTCTAAGAGAACAACGGTGTATACGATAATGACGTACAGCTGTGACCATTCAAGTGTTGACATGCATTTGAAATTTTGTCCATAAAAGGCAAATGTTATTTTGTTCCAAAACTTGGGTCTAACATTTTCTATGTGACCCTTTTAGCATTCGCCCCTTTTTGAACCATGACCAAGAGTTAAGTGCTCGGCTGAGTCCCTTTCTAGGTCCGTTACCGCACTTAGAATGCGTTGACCCGGCGAAGTGCCGTATTGCAGCATATGCACCCTCTACGGAGCCGCAGCTTATGAAGCTCCTCCAGAAGCCTCTTCTGTTGATCTTCAGCGAGCACCATGTCCGTAT